GGAACTGGTGCTCGTGGGATGAAGTGCTAAAGGTGGGGGATGGAGGGGCAGCCCCAGAGTAGCACAGTCAGTCCCATTCCTGGGAGAGGTGGCCTCAAACTCCAAGCAGAATGTCAGCAGTGGGACCTGTATGTGCAAAGTCCCTGAGGCAGGGGGAAGCTTGGTAAAGGGGAGGTGCCAGAGGGAAGTCAGAGGGACAGGGGAATTGAGCATGGTGGGAGGGGCCAGACATGCTGGCATAACAGCTTCGTCCTTCTTAGCAGGAATCTGGACTGGGTCCCAAGAGGAGTGGATGGCAGAGGAGGCACATTCCCACAGCCCCAACCAGTCAGGGCTCTCAAGCTTGAAAGCACAGCCTCACTCTGTCTTCAGGAGGCCACACCTTGGTTTCCGCATATTAGCTCCTTTCTCAATATCTCCATTCTCTCTGGCCTCCCTAACCCATAGTGACCTGTGCCCCTTCCTCACCCCCACCCCACCACCTCTGGTACTCTGTGGCATTCACAGGGGTGTCACTCCATGTGACCCATCACAGTCTCTGCTAACTCCCTATCCATCTCCCCAGCTGAGGTCCCTGACATGCTCACAGGCTGTTGTGGTCTCTCTGCATCCAGCTGCTGCCCCTTAGCAACCTTCTCCCGTCCCTGGAGTCTGGGTTCCCAGGCATTCTTGCCAACCCACATAGGTCATCATTGAGTCTTCTCCACTGGGTGGAAACCTAAGGAGCATGGCCTTCAGCAAGCTGGGACTGTTTTTCTTGCTCTTCCTGCCCCACCATAGGGCCACTGACTGTTCCTAGACGGACTGGCCATTCAGGCCTGGGCACCTTGTCTTTCACCGTTCCCTCTCTGAGCATGCCTTTCTCTGCTTCCCTCCCACCTGCTTGGATTTCCTCTGCCAGGTCCATGCCAGAGGTGACCTCGTGAAACCTTCTAAAGCCCCTTCCCATGTCCCAATTTCCCCTTCTCCCTCTCCAGGCAAAACAGCTCACCCAGCTGTATGGCTTTATGTTTCAGGCCCGGTGGTGATGAGTTGACCTCAATTCAGTGCTGGACCCATGCTGGGGTCTCAGAGGCTGCTCTCCATCTAGAGGGGTTCCCTGAACCCCAATTTCTCACTGGTAGGAAGAAGCCTCAGGCCTGGTATACTTGCTCCACCCCTGTTCCAACAAGATAGAACCTTTGATCTAGTGTTTTCCCCCTGCAGTCTCTTCCAGAGCCTGGGAGAAGGAATCTGCTAGTGTGATGCTGGGTGGCAGGGCTGCAAAGGCTGCCCAATAGAGCCCGGTTTTTCATTAGAGCCCTGGATTTTTCTTGTAAATGAGATGGCCAGCTTTATTCCTAACCATCACTCTCTCCAGGTTGTCTTTTCCTCTATTTTAGGTTATAATGATTTTTTAAAAAGAGCCAACAACCTGTTTATAGGTCTCTAGGAGCTGGCCACAGCCCACAGAGGTTCTGAGCACCCCTGTGACCAGAGTGGGCTCTGGGCTTCTTAAGCTGGAGCTACAGGGGTGCAAAGGTGTTTCAGGATGAGTCCATGCATTGAGTGAGGGTTCAGAGAGGAGAGAAGGCTGAGGACTGCAAGTGTCCAAGAAGCAACGTACAGAGGCTGGCAGGTGCTGTGATAATTTTCTGCTGATTTTAGCATCTAACTTCCTGCAGGATTGCCTTTCATGTGGGCCTTGGCTGAGAGTGGCATCTAGCTAGCTCATCACTTGCTGGCTATAGGACCTTGGATAGGGCACCTAACCTTCTGTGCCTCAGTTTCCTTCACTGTAGATGAGACCAACAGTGGCACTTTTGGGGGGAAACAAGTAAAGTCATCACACAGGACAAGGCAGCACCTAGCAGCTGGTATACTGTCAGCAAACCTCCTGGGACATGTGTCCTTGGTTTGGCAGATGCTGGCAAGAGTTGTGGTGACAGCTGATATGTGAACCATGACAGCCTAATTGTGGCAGGTGGAAGGGTGCTATGCCAAGTTATATTTAGACCTTACCAAAACCTAAGTGGTTCCTCTTAAATTTCTTGGGTCTACATGATGGATTTAGGGCTTCCAAAAAATCCTGTGGAGGCTTTTTACGTACTTCTATTTATAATCTAAACTCTCTTAAATCCCCAACCCGGCCAAAATCATTCCTGCTATGTTTTCTTTCAATACCAAACTCACCAGCAGCAGAGAAAACAGCTGCATGTGTGATGATCTGGGGTCCCAACAGACCCTTTCTCTTATTCCTGTAGGAGTAAGACCTAGGAAGTCCTTTACCCTTTGCAGGTTCTGCCTTGCCCAACCTCAGGGCCACCTGCCACAGCGAAAGTTCCTCCCACTCAGAGGAACTCTGGCAATATTACTGATTCCTGCCATCCAATATTGTTGTTTCTCAAACATTTCTGTGGCTCAGGATTTTGTGTCTGGCTCTTTTTTTTTGGACTGGGGCTGATTCTCACATTCTTTTTCTATCTCCTTCTGAGCCCTTTCTCTTTTTTCCATTGTATAAAATAATCTTTTGTTAGGAACCAGCAACATGGATCAGTGTGCTCCCTCCTAAGCAGGTACCAGTCAGGGGTCACAGATGGTCACCACCATGAATTAGAAAGTCTAATTCAGTCCTCGTGGTCCTTTGATAAATAGGATGCCTGGAGCCTTCTTTTCACAGTCTTTCAGGCCAAAGTTCACTGAGGATTTGCCGCAGCACACAACAGGGCCACAGGACAGAATGACAGGAACTGACCCTCAAGTCCTGTCCTGTGGGATAGGCAGGGAATAGTCCGAGTACCCAGGACTGCCCAGGCAGGAATACAAGACTGAGATCAGGGCATGGATTTCAGAACTGACCACCTGGGTTTTTGTCCAAGCTCTGTCACTTCCTAGCTGTGTGACCTTGGGCAAATTAAGGTCTGTCTGTCTGTTAATCTCTCAGTTTTCCCAACTAAGCATCAAATAGGCATAATATCTGTGTCCATCTCAAATGAATTAACTTCAATAAAGTGCTCCAGCTTGTGTCTGGCACTCAGACAGCAATATGTAAGAACTATTATCATATGGCCAGAGGTTTAGCAATGTCTGCTTGCTACTTGCAAATATACATGGTTTTAGAAGAACTTTTGTGGGTGTAGTTGTGTTAACACAGACATACCCACATCTTAGACCCAGAAGGACCACAGGGTCATTAGCTCCTTCCTATATGTACCTGATGAAAAGGAGGGAAATATCGGTGAAGGAAGGAGGTAAGGAATAATGGCAGAGGAAGAGAAACAAACCTTCATTTATGGAGCCCTCTGTGAAGCTTTTGTGTACTCTTGTGTCTCAGATGTCTCTAAAACACTCTGTACAGGGTTTCTCATGTCTCCTGTTTTACAGACAGGAAAGCTGAGGCTCAGTAGGAGGAAGGACCATGCCCAAGGTCTTGTTATGTGAACAGTTAAGATTCTGGCGACTAGAGAGGCTGATGGGGTGGCTGTAAAGGCACAGGACAAGGCAGAAGAGTGAGCCAAGCAATGCCCACAGGGCCTGTCTCTTCCTGCCAAGCAGTGAGGGATATCCTTGGCCAAGGATCAAAGCATAGAAGCTTTGAGGGAAGGGGAAGTGGGATTCCCTGGGCAGGAGAAATAGGCGACAGGGCTGGGGAAGTCCCTGGTCATGGTGAGATCTGCTACATCCATCCAGGATAGGCTCTGCAGCAGGAACTCAGAGGCTTGGGAAAGAACTGCTCCCTGGAGATCAGTGGGCTGCACTGTCGCCCCCTAAAGGAAATAGGAGGAACAAGACAGTGCCCAGACTGGCCAGCTGAGTAAGCCCCAGCCAGGACCCCCTGGGTGGGCTTCAGACTTCTTTACTCTCCATCTGTCTATTATACCCTCCAGAGCCCTCCTGTCAGGAGGAACTCAAGAGAGGGGGTCCCCAGGGTGGTGATGAAGCCAGTCCTTTGGGATGGAAAGACTGAGACTGCACCTGCTCCCTTGCCACTGTCTCCTCCCAGACAACAAGCTGGCCCAGTCTGATGCATTCTGCAGAGGCTATTCCCAACCTTTTGATGCTTCCCTACTGAAGGACAAGTCATTTTGTCTATCAAGGGTCTATAATGTCCCTAAAATCTGCCCCTGATGTCTGTTCAGAAGTCAAGTCTAACTCCTGCCAGTACCCATTTGGGAGTTGAATTATATCTTCTGTTTGAAAGAGAGAGAGAGAAAAAAAGTCCTTTTCTCCAGAGCGACATTCAGATGCCCATGAGCTCCACCATCAAATATGAATATTCTCTTAAAAATAAAAATTACAGTGCACTTAAGAAGGAGCATGTTATGTCAGCACTGGTGATAAGACGATTTATTACTGCCCACAAAAAGAAAGCTCTAATGCTATGGTGAAGCTGGCTGTAAATTAAGAGCCATTCTCTTGCTGGTGGAAATAAACCCCCTTGTCAGTCACTGTGCTGTCCCCTAGACAGCCTGGCAGGCAGCAGGGAGCAGGCAGAGTCAGGAATCAGACACCCATTACCTGAGAGAGCTCACCTATTACCTGCCCCTCAGGCCCAGGGTGGCCCCCACTCAGACACACATGCGCTTAACAAGTCTCTAATCACATCCCTGGGATGCACCTTTTTTGTTTTTTTTCGGATTGATTTAAGAGTAACAAATGATCAGGTTATGATTAGGTTGTTAACATTTGTTTTTTGACATAAAAAAAATAACAACTGTTTGTGGTTTTCTCATAGGCAAAAAAGAATAAGTAGAGTTCAGTGGAAAAGGAGAGGAGCAAAAAGTCAGAGGGCCTTACCAGAACTACCTGATTTGAGGGAAACTGCTTTCACCTCTCTGAGATGTATTTTCCTCTCCTGAAAAATGGAGTTGGACTAAGAGGCTGAGGCAGCAGATAGTTGTTCTCTTGTTTGGGCGATGCATAGCCCAGGGAGGTGGGGGGCTGCCCCCACCAGGAATTGTTCAAGAAGGTCTGGGGGGAGCTGTCAGAGATGTAAAAAGCAGACTTCCTTCACTATCTAGGAGCTGAATGTCCCAGGGCAAATGCCAGGGCCAACCCACAATTCCAGAATTCAGTGAAAACTGCACCTAGTCTGAGTCCCTTCCGACTTCCAACTAACAACTGGTAAGTGCCCCATGTCTTCCATCTTCCCCCTTTGTGATTTCTCCACACTGCCAAAAGCAACCTGAGCAATGAACCTCCTTCTGTGAGTGTAGCATTTTCAGGATGGCTCAGAGGGAAAGTCTCATTTAGAGCTCACTATCTGAGACATCCTCCATGCAACCGAATAGAGAGGGATGCTGGGAACAAAGATTGTGGATAATTGCTAGACAATAATTATGATCAAATGTGTCTGCTATATGTGAATTTGGGATTAAATGTTTTCATAGAATGGTTGAGGGACTAGCTGTCAAATTAAATATTAGATGGCCAGTTAAATTTGAGTTTCAGATAAACAATGAAAAAAATTTAAGTGTATCCCACAAAACGTTTGGGATATGCTTGCACTAATAAAATCATTTGTTATACCCTGAAATATGTTCAGCTATAAAGAGATGGTGACCTTACATCTTTTGTATTAACACATTATTCTTAGTAAAGTATCACAAATGGAAAAGCAAATATCCAATGTACTCAATACTAATATGACCAGTAGATGTTCTAATTCATGCTCACAGAGGAGTAAAACTCAATTCAATTTAAGTTGGGGAGAGGAAGAATGAGGGACGGTTAGAGCAGGGGAGGAGATTGGTGTGCTCCCACTTAATAGGCACAATGTAGGGGCATATGGTACATCTTTTGGGTGTGGGACAACTGGCCTTTACCTAACTAATTCAAATATTGTGACCTGGTTTGTACCCTCACATTAATAAACAAAATTATTTATTTATCTGAAATTCAAATTTTCCCAGGTATCTTGTATTTTTATTTGCTTAATCTGGCAACCCTGGTGGTGGAGGTGGGGAAGGTCAAAGCTCAAGCTGGCATCGGATAGAGAAATTTATCTCTAATATTTTAAAAAGAAGTGGCAGGCTAAAGTTTGGGTTTAAAAATACAGAGTGTTTTCTTGGGGATAAATTCTTGGGGCCAAGAATTGAGGCAATTCAAACCATTAAAAGTATGACCTCAAATACAGCCTCATTAAGACATGAAGACATATTAAAACAAAACAAAAATAAATAAAAATGAAGAAAGAGGCAGAAGAAAGAGAGACAGATCAAGATTAAGTGGAAATCTCCATCTTTCTTTAAGGCTCATAATATTCCATGGTGCACATATACCACAATTTATCGATCCATTCATGGGTTGATGGGCACTTGGGTTCCTTCCATGACTTAGCAATTATGAATTGGGCTGCAGTAAACATTGTGTTACATATATCTTTGTTATAATGTGATTTTTGGTCTTCTGGATATATAACTAGTAGAGGAATTGTAGGATTGAATGGCAGGTCTATTTTTAGATCTCTAAAAATAGATGTTTTAGTGTTCTCAAAACATCTTTCCAAAAGGAATGTATTATTTTGTATTCCCACCAGCAATGTTTACATGGATGGAGCTGGAACATATTCTTCTTAGCAAAGTATCTCAAGAATAGAATAAAAAGTAGCCAGTGTACTCAGTCTTACTATGAAACCAATTTATAGCTTTCTTATGAAAGCTATAACCCAATTATAGCTCAAGAAGAAGGGGAGAGGGAGGGGAGGGGAGGATGGTGGAGGGAGAGTAATTGGTGGGACAGTAATTGGTGGTACCTACGGTGCATCTTACAAGGGTACATGTGAAATTTACTCGGTGTAGAATATAAATGTCTTAACATAATAACAAAATGCAATGAAGGCTGTGTTAACCAATTTGATGAAAACATTTCAAATTGTATATAAAACCAGCACATTGTACCCCATGATTGCATTAATGTACATAGCTATGATTTAATAAAAAAAGAAAGAAAGAAACCCTCTTCATGGAAGAAAAAAAAGATTAAATGGAAGATCTGAGATGATTATAACCCCTGGGGCCATGGCACTGATAGTCAAGGGAGTGAGATGGCTCAGACCCTGTGCAGACTAGGGAAATGTTGCAAGCTGGTATGTCAGGAAGGGTTTTGGGTGCCTGGGGACTAGGGAAATTTTGCAAGCTGGTATGTCAGGAAGGGTTTTGGGTGCCTGGGGACTAGGGAAATTTTGCAAGCTGGTATGTTAGGAAGGGTTTTGGGTGCCTGGGGACTAGGGAAATTTTGCAAG